GAATGAGCAGAGACTACTCACCTTTACCACAACCATCAGGGCCGACTAAAATGAATGGTTGTTTATGTTCTGCTCGTAACCATGGTTTCAGGTTATCTAAACATCTCTGCACATCTGTGGTTCTTATAACTGGCAGTGAACCGTTGACTGAGCTGAAATCTTCGGCTGTCAGCTCACGGATACATCTAACTGGTAAGACATTAGTCTTCCAGTGTCTTCATCGTAATACGTGTCCAAGAGTTTTTTCTGGTCAGGTGGCATTTCATGTGCCCAATGGAAAACCTACATATGAATTGTCAAATAAGTGCATTACAGTATTTGCTCAGTTACAAGTGCACACAAATAAAGATTTCATTTATTATATGCAAGGTCATGTCATTTACATATAAAATCATATGCACTTCTATGCACTCTATTAGAGGCGTGCTATGGAAAAATAAGTAATTATTCATTAGTCTAGATTTCAGTGAATGCAATTTTTGCTTTACATGCTTCACATCAATGATCCAGGAACACTAAAAGTAATTTAATTGTCTATATGCACATCGACCAGAGATGCGCTTCTAGCAGTGTAAATAATTAATAATAATAAACAATTGATACATGCATACAAATAACAGTGTGAACTACCTCAATGAATGTGTATTACGGTACACTAAACAAACCACATGCCAATAACGTGTTTACAGTATGCGTCGTGATGCCATATCTTTAATAGTAGTTATCATATTTTCTTACCTCTTTTGCAAATGCCAATCTACTATTCTCATTGAGGTTACCACCTAACCCTCTAATGAGTGCCACAATGAAATGTGCTTTGCTAACACATCCATGCAAATGAGATAAGCCATTGATGACCACACCAACCAGACTGGTCTCCACCACCATGTCGTTCTGTTTAATCACCCATTCCAGACCTTTGTAAAAGTAATCTTCAATCCAGCCTTGTAATCTGGACTGTGCATCATCTGGTTGTTTTGCTAACCAAGATGTAACTAGTGCTTTGACATCAGTGTCCTCATCACTAGAGAGAGATGAAAACTTAAATGTAGTATACACTTCATTGTAACATTCACAACTTGAAAGGGAATTCTATTTTACAGTCATCGCAATAATATATGGTACACCAAATCAGCAATATTGCCAGCTAATTGGCCAATGATACAGCTGTGCATCGAAACACACAATATGGTTCATGTGGTTCAGAATGTGGTGAAACAAATTGCATTACTTGAATTGTGATGGTTGTAAACCCTAGTCCGTATCTACTGGCAACTCCTGATGTCTCTAAATAACATATTTTGTTTAAAATGTTTATTGTAAAATAAAAGTGCTAATGAAAATAATGAATATTAAATCCCCTCGAGAATCACCAGGTATGTTGCCCAATGCACAAATATGTTAGGCAATTAGATGTAAATTTTGCTATATTGCTAAATATTTGGTGTACCGAATCTATTATTGTGATGATAGTAAAAAATATAGGAACCACTGCATGCATGTAACTTTACATTTTTCTTCATTTTAAAACTTTTATGTGATATTCATACCATAAATAGAGCTTGAAGTTTACAGACATTGAAATCAATTGCCAGGATGCCCTAGTGCTCTCCAAAATAATCATATAATGTTCCCAATAATATTCTGATATATAAGTAATAATAATTTTGATAGATAAAGTTTGACTTAGAAAATATTACTGTCATACATACCTGAGGAAAATCATACCCATTCTGGATATTGTAGCTGGAGAAGCACAGCTTAAATCATGAGTCTCAAACACAAAGTTGACATTAGGAGCAAACTGGATACGTTCACCAGATGGCATGGTTAGTAATCGGTTGTCATCCAGTACAGAGTTCAATGACTCGATCCATTCAGGGTCAATATCACCATCACAGATTATCCATGACTGAATTTCTGAGAACAAAAGATTATCAAACTTCAATAAATTTCACAATATATACATGACCCTATATTGTATATAATAAAGATTGTCAACCCCAAAATTAGCTTTCTGAAAACTCAATATCAGAGATGGGTGCATTTTAAACAAGAAAGTGCCTCATCCATGATAATGACACCAAATCAATTGTTGAATTCTTATAATGCATTGTTACATCGGGATTCTAGATATGCTCATTGATGCAAGTCAAGCCCACAAATCATTCCTGGGTATGGGTCAGCATCTAGAGCAGCCACAATCTTACTATCTTTTCTGCCATGCTAAAATGAAGCTTACCTTGTGGTTCTCTGACAACCTGTCTGGCACTGCTAGTCAGCACTCCATCAGACCACTCTCTTGTGTCCATGTCGATATGACCAAGTAACTAAAAAGATGTACAAATCAAGATTTAAAATGTATCAGTATCAGTATCAGAATCTAGTATAACCATGAACAAACTTTAAGACAAAGCAATTGCATAAAAGTACAAAAAACTATCAAAACACAAATTGATATATAACTTGTATTTATTTCAATCGAAGTCCATGTGTAAAGATACTAGTAACAATTTACAACATTATAACATCTGAGATGAAAGAGTTCACGTTGACAACATTAAAAAAAAAGTTAAATAAACACATTTTGGGTTTTAAAACACACACATCACTACTAGCACTGGAGATGTGCTTCTGACGGGGTTCAGTTGTCTAAAAACTATAGCTTAGTACACTTTGTCCAAAATGGCAACAGCATGTATCGTCATGAGACATTTCTAATTACTGCCAGATTTTGGGAGTCAAGCAGTAAATTTAATAAATCTGAAATGATTGAACAAAATTAATATTTTAAAAGAAAATATGATGAGCCTCTGAACCGCTGCTTCTAATGCAGTATACAGAACAAATGCAGTGCATCTCAATTGAAATGCGTTTCAAATGTGAAGTACAGTATTGCATGACATGTATGCTCCACTGACCTGTGTTCTTGGCATAGCTTTCGGATTCATAGTATACTGTTTGACCACCTGTCCAATCTTGGCCATACCCAGTCTCAGAATCTGCCAGAGTGTAGATTTGCCGGATCCACTGGGTCCCACGATTACCACTCCCATACGTTGTCTTAGCTGCTCATACAGCTCCAAAGCCTTCTTGATCTGCACAGACGGGGAGGGAGAGTCAGGGTTATGTAAATTGTTAGTAGGGGAGGATGGTATATTAATAAAGCATCCTTTATCAAGCAAGCACTATGTTAAGAGTGAATAGTATTACATTTCATTAATTGTGGAATAAAAAGAAAAGAGAAAATGAAGCTAATTCAATTCTTCTGAATATGGGTTATACTGATATTAAGCTGTACACATGGCTTGTTTATATGACATATAAATATGGGAGAAATTTAACAGAAATGCACTTCAAAATATCAAAAGTGAATAACCGAGGGTTGTTTATTGAAAATAAACATATTTGAAACTGAGCGTGAATACTGGAATGGATTCAAAGAAATGAAATGGATGATATACATGTACATGCTAAATCACATGCAAGGTTTTAAACTTCATGAAGGCATCAAAAGTGAATGTGATTAAGGGCTTTGGATCCCTCATAAATATGATAAACCCTATATTATACATTAAACCATTTTCAAATGAAATTTATGATTTTGGATTTCAAAATGAAGTAAGAAGAATTGCATGAAATACTAAATACAGCTATAATTATTTGATTATAAATATACAATTTCATTTTAAATACAAGCACCCCATCATATACAGTGGGACTTTCAATAAGTGTTCTACCTCCTATGGTTGAAGGTAAAGTCAAAATAAACAATACTAGTGTTGTAGTGGTTTTTCTGATTGGTTTATTGCGACACTCAAAGTAGCCAACCAAATCTCCCACACTCTATGACAAAGTATTTTTTTTATGACAAAGTATTTTCCCCTGGTGAACGGATCAAGGGGATATTGCTGAAACAATTTGCTAGCAGATTTAAGTTCATTTCGAATTTCCCAGCATTCTTTATCAAACCATAATTTGGTTTCTCTTTTTTTCTTTTTTCTAATTTTGGTTGTTATTTTTATGAAAGCTCTGACACTGTACCTGCTGCTCTGCTACCACCAGGTGTAGCTCCTTACACACTTCTCTGAGAGCTGCTGCCAAGGTCTCATACTCAATATCTTTAAGCTCAACACCCGGAAAAACATCTCTGAGTAAGGAATCAAATCTTTTACCATCAGCAAATGTCAGTTTAGATAGTGTATTGACACGTACAGCCTGTACCACTAGTTTGCTTTCATCAATCTTATCTGCAAGTGGAATGTAATGCATACGTCAGATATTGAGTCAGAAGGTGCAATTCAAACTAAGTAGGCACTGAATAACAGAGTAAATTCAAATTACGTCGGACCAAAGATAATGATGATAACTAAGTACTTATGACTGTATAAAAAAGTAATGATACACTAGTTATCAATTATCCTTGAGAGAAAAAGAAGAAAAATAGACACCAGATACAAAACTACTATACACAGACATGCATAACTGGTTGGGTTCGGTAGGCCACATTCCAACTTGAGTTAAATTTCAGCAGAACAACTTGAACTTGAACTCTCACGAATCACTTGTTAACATAAACTGCATTTATTTGTGATGATTGAAACACTTCAAACGAAAGTGTAAACTTCAGGTAATTACATAAACTTGAAGAATGCCATAAAGCATTGCATAGTAAACAGATGAACTAACTGACTCGCACAGTTGGGCACGGACTAAACTAGAACAGAACTATCATTTAACTTTTAAAAGGGAAATAGAACATTACAGTGTTTTCCATGCAGACGGGGGTCAATCAATCAGTTGACTGCGTATTAAGTTAATAATGGAATATCAGTGCTGAGTGCACTTTATAAATTTCGGCCCTAAAAAAGGGTGCCCTCTCAACTTCGAAGTTCAAGCCCTGAGCATATAAAGTGATAGAAATTTGGACACATACATGATGATTGTCATAAGATGACCACATGTACATCGTTACCTTGACTTGTCTTACCTGTGGTATTCCTCTTAGCAAGTTGTAGTAGATTACCAGATCCTCTAAGTACAGTCTTCAATGCACGCAGACCCCAATCATAGTGCTGCTGTGGTGTCAACAATTCCCTGTATGATTTGTTAGAATGTTAGTCACTGACATATAATTGATGCATGTTCTATTAAATGAACCAGATTGAACTGTCAAAATAACTGATAAATTACTTTCAGTTGTTTCACATTAGACCAAAAATATATTCCAGTAAAAATTGCCTTTTCAATATGGTACTGCAATACAAATTAAAAAAATTGAAGATCAGGTTTTGCATGTACTATACATGACGAATTGGTAAAGAGACACATTAATAGTACCTTTGACAACCAAAACTGTGTTTTTTAGTTAAAATATAGAAATCCACAGTAGAAGTTCAGATTACCCATTTTAGATTATTGATTGACTAAGGTGTATATTACTTTAGGTTTATAAATTGTTACAACAATTAATAATTTTGGAGGTGGCTGAATTGTAAGATTAAATTGTTGGAGATGAGTTTCAAGTCAGTGGAAAAATGATTGTAGAATCAAAAGATTTCAGAAAAGTGTGAAACATGGAAACAAAATACAGAACAACTCAAAGTTTTTTTGTTTTTTTTAAAGAAATATTTCGATTGATAGCATCTGAATGTGACAATTTCAAGACAAGTGATTGGAGAATTACTGGAAGGAAAATAAAAATATTGTTTTACCAAAACTCCTATGGTTCAACTAACATAAATATTACAGTAATTTGAAAAATTCCCTTGTGCTATTATTTCTTAGTTCAATTTTAAATGATATATGCAGTTGAGTTGTGCAGGGAACCATGAGATGCGAAATTCACATCATAGCACATAACCTCAGTCATGTATGTACCAGTTCTGATATCAGAATAAAACATACATGGCAATAAAATCGGATAGGTATGATGTGTACACGCAACAAGTGACATTAATTGGTGCAGGATTAAGCTAGGTATAGTGTTGATAACAGTGTAATTTAATTTTGAAATTATTAGTGCTATTAATAACTGTGAAAATATGATAAAAACTGATTGTCAATAACTTTGACATGCATGGCATTTCCTGAACATTTCAAAGCAAAAACAACACATGCAATTACACAGCAGTCTCAAGGATGTGTTGGACTCACTTTGAAAGGTTGAATACTGCCACCAACTTCCTACCCAGACTTTTGGCTTCTTTGAAGCCCTCTGAGAAAAGAATGACCTCTGCAATTTGTTCATTGTCAGGACGGGACATGGCCACTGGACGGAATAACTGTTTCAAGTTGTCAGGTAGTTTTTGACGGCCACCATACCCTTTACCAGCAGGGTTCATGGTGATAAAGATACCAGAGTTTGGATCCAGGTCAATCTGCAAAAATAAAATCACTCAATAACCACATGCATCATGTACGTATCCACACAAAGTGATATAAAACACAGTAGATTATTAAGATTCTATATCTCCACCGCTTTATAGCTTAACTCTTCAGTTTACAGAATATAACTGTTTTCTAACGAGAAAAATTAATCCCACATTATTTAGAAATGGGTCGAAAATTCAGGAAAGCAGAGCCTTGCTACCCATTCACCAAACCTAAGTGGCTGAGAAAAAATAAATTCTTACTGTTACAGTATTACTCATATACATGTATGGTAGGCTGAAATTTCATTACAAAACAGGAACTTCATAACCAGTTTGGCTAAAAGTGTTTTCAACCTAGAGGGGGCTCTGAAAGAACTACAATGGCTATGAAGGAAGTATGTCAAAAGCACTACATTTTGATCATATACACAGTCTGTGAAAACTTCATTATCAGGTTTTCATGGAGATATCAAAAGTCACTAACTTAAATGTTTTGAAAAAAATACAAAATTTCCCTATATGCAATAATGACAATTTTATCAAATTTGACTAAGGAAATTTCAAGCCAAGATAATATTTATAATTTATTCAAACGTGTGATTATCATCAGTTTAATCAATCGCTCAAAAAATTGGTTAAGTTAAGTGGGCTCTGTGTTCAATTATACAACAACTACATGTATAGCATCATTCCCTTGAGCAAGCAACAAATCATGATATAATATACAGAAAATAGTAGTAGATAATCATAGTACTTGGTAATTATTCAATATGTTTTGAACAAAGTATCTTTTCTCAACACTCCCTTTATACTGACCACCACACAGCATTATAATGGTATAGTCTACTATTCAAAGCGTACACTTAAAAATAAAATCCCATCCATCTGCTGTTGACAAATTTTGTCTGAAACGTCTAGTTATATTGAATAATTATCAAGAACTATGATTACCGGTACTACCATTTTCTGCATATTAAATTTATCAATCCCAGCATCTTTCATCAATTTTATAACAAATCATGATATATTGCCTTCAATGTGTTATATATTTAAGATGTAACATGTAACATTGTTCCCATTTATTTTAATACATGTACCTTACTGATCACAACAGACTATAGACAATACTTACAGTTCTTTCCAATAGTTCCATTGTGGGGTTTCTGTTTTTAATGGCACCTTGTATTGTCTGGATCTGCATAGACACGGCTGACAACACGGCTTCCTCTAATCGATTGAACTCATCAAAACAACCCCATGCACCACACTTGCACAGACCAATAAAAATACGACCCATTGATTTCACATCAATACCCTGCATCAGGAAAACCAAAAAAATAAGTTATCCTTCACACATTAAAAATTATTAATGACAGCGACAACAACAACGACAGACATTTTCCCCCAATACCTTTTACCCTTCATATTGAAATATTATGGGCAAGGCACATCACCTCCAACTACATTTGACCAATCAGGCAGATCTCCTCTGATTTGTCAACCAATTAGAACAAACCTTATTGGAAAAGAGTACATGTATACAACACAAGTTCTGATTTGATCCTATCAGAATTCAATTTGATTCAGATTGAATATAAACAAATTAGTTTTTATTTTAAAAACCAATGCCATAGACTCAGCCTACAACTAGCACTATTCATACATTGCTTCAAATATCATTTACAGTTTCGTCTCCACAACACAGTACAAAATGAAAGTGTTTCTGTCATTATCAAACAACAGTTATAAGACATACCTCATCACAGTTGAAGACTAAGACCTGTCTACCAAATAATCCACCCAGTGCCTTGACTGACTCAGTTTTACCAGTACCTGCTGGCCCATATGGATTGCCTCCCAACCCCATATGCATTCCCTGGGTTAGCGTTAAGTAACATTTGTCAGTCAGTGGAGTATGCACCAATTTAGCAGCATTGCCTGTAAAAAGAGAAAATGAAAAATGATGAAATCAAGGGTTCTGAATCTACTGTATGCTCGAGGGCTGGAATTCAGAGGCCATGGAAGTGATTACTTGGATATCCATCTGTATGCTTTGATGCCTTTTAAAAATATATTTTTCACAAATTCAGTCCAATGATTTATATTGCTGGTTTTGAAAATTTGGGACCCTAAAAATAAAAAATGTCAAGCCCTGTATGAGAATGTATTGTAACATAAAGGTACCTGCGTAATCATGGTATCTACTGTATTGTTGCAACAAACCTTGCATCAATATGTACCTTTAGTTATTACTTATATGTTATGTAATGGGGTCAGACAGCACCGTGTGGTAAACAGAAAAGAGCACATATTTAGTTTCATTTTCAAAAATTTTAAATATTATAATTTAAAATATACAGTAAGTGAAAGTATTTATAGAAGGCCCTATTTATAAAAGTGATAAAGAATATTAGCTTTGTAAAATCAAAATGCACTTGGTGTATTATAAAGCATTCAGTGAAAACATCAACATCATTTTTGTTTTGTTTTCCAAAATAAAGACAATTTTTCAAAAGAATAACTTTACCTTGGTACTCATATGTATAATCGAACTCAGCATCCACCATTCTCATTAGAGCCAAACCATCTCTTCCTAGATAATATCTCAGTTGTTTCTGCCATGTCCAATCTGATACGCTATGTACGTTATCATTCAGCAAAGCTTGGACAATATCCATGGCATGAATTACATCTAAGATCAAAGCCTGCAAGACAAGTAGTTGAGGTATTAAGTATAATTCAAATTGAACAGTGTTAACACATTTATCTAATGGGAGTTCACATGTATGAAACCAAGCTTCAGCTATTCTTGAAGGCTAAATAAAGCTTTTGACAGTTTAAAGTTGACTTTAGTCATCATTTCGTACACTATATAATATAATTATTATTTTTCTTCTTCAAAAATGGTAAGTATTGTCTATTTGGTTCAAAATTTCCCCAAGAGATTATAAAAAAAAAAAAATTAGTTGTTTCTCATAATCTTAACACTTGATTTTACAAAATGAATAATCTACTTGTGCAACCTAATGACAGCTACATTTATAACAACATGTATTACAAATCTAATTAAAGATTTACTGGGCTTTCACAGGTGCCCAATTCTTACAGACTGATGACTGACTGGGGAGACATACCTTGAGTTTTAATTCAAGAACATGGGTATCTTCATGGGATGCTATATCCACACTGGTATAGGACTCCAGCTGAGACTCAATCTCTATCATGAATTCCTGCAAAGCATTCTCTTTAATAGCAGCCTCACATCTCTCAGTGAACTGGATCTGTTCAGCCAAGCACAGAACCTGAAGGCAAAACAATAAGGAATTTCAGGAAAAGGGAAGTTGATGCTGCACCTTCAAAATTCATCTACAGCCACACGCAATCTCAATTTTAATTAAGACCTCTCTCTTCTAAGACCTCTCTCTCCCCAAAAGTGAACAAGCTGAACAAACTTGATTTTTGTGATTTCATTTCGACTCAAGATGTCTACATATTCAGTCCTGTTAAAGGGCACACTCTCGTCACCGGTGTACTTCCCCTCTAACTACATCTGATCATGTAACTATGCAACTTGTGTTCAGGAAGCTCCTAGCTCCCTGCTAACCAATTACAGTGGACATTACCGGAATGTACATGACTTATGATTGGTTAGAGAATTGGATACACATCACATCTTTGTCAAATGTAAATACTTACCTGTGATGGGAATTTGTTTGGATCTACACCTGCACTGTTATTTCCCTTGCCTGCCTTAATACAATCCAACAACAATTGTTGCAATGTATCTTTCATCTCGTCTGACAAGCGACTCAACCAGTTCTAGATGACAGCAGAAATGAGTTAGGAGATATAATATAGACAAGATGAAAATTACCATTATGTGTACACATGTGTGCTGATGATGGTACAATAGTGTTATGAATAATGAATCAATATAGCCCTCACCTCCACTTCAGGTGTAATAGTAACAGGTTTCCTAAGTGGCACAACCTCTCCCTCCAGGGACTTCATTGCCAGGATCTGTTGGTTGCCTTCGTCAAACTTGACACTGTGTATACCAGCAAACAGTTTCTTCAAATGAGACTGGATAACAACAGGATTGGTGGCCTGTCCAAGTATCTCCAACAAATCATCATCACCAATGAAATAGAATCGTGGAAAGGCAGAACGTTTCTCCTACAATTTGAAATCATTCAGGGTTATTATTAAACTGGCCCAGTCATTGCAATTTTATTTTAAATTATTATTAATTTACAGTTTGTTGATACACAGTGGTACACACCAATTCTAAGTGACAGGTATATAGTAACAGAATTGAACAAATTATTTCCATCTTACCTCTAGGAATTCATTGAGTGATTTTTGACATCTTTGTAATTGGTCAAGCAGTGTTATAAGTGTATTTCTAAGACCTGGTCTACCCACCATGGACAGAACTCTATTGTCCCTCGATACATCCATCATGATAGACCTACAGAAGGAGATTGAAACTATAGTTACTTTATGAATGACAATATAAGGAACCCTTGAAAACTACACATGGTGAACTATCTAGATCACTTTGCACAAGTCAGGTAACACTAACTGTTGGTCAGCTGTCTGCTGTATGAATGAATCAGTATCAACAACATAAAATGTAGTTTTTATATAGAAGACAATATTCGTAAATATTCACCAGATTTACGTCCCATCATAATAGCTAACTAACATATGAAGTAACAAATTAGCATATGAATGCCATAATTAATAGGCACATCAATAACTTCTATTGTTTTCTTGACAATTTAAGTATTATGTTACTGCCATACACTAGAGGGGAAGGCTAGCAACAAAAAGAACAAATCTAAATAAAGCCACCAAGAATGACAATTATCAACAAGTTTTATTGCTTTTCTGGAAAACCTATGCAGGACAATTTCTATGATGGGTAAGAAGCCATAAAGTTCACCATCAACTGAGAGTGAATCAGACCTGGGATACTCTGATAAATCATTTAATAGATTACAGCTATGGAAGTATTATACAAACCTAAAGTCATCATCTACTCTCTTAAAACGTGGTTGTTCTTTTGGCAGTGCACCTCTACCAAAGATGGGTTCCAAATAGACCCATTTCCTCTGGATCTGGTTTAGATTGTGTAAATACTCGTCAAGGTCAGCTAAACGTTGTTCCCAAAGTGTAGCTTTGTCTTCAAATCCCTTGTAATACGGAGAATCCTTCAGTGATTGCAGAAGGCATTGATTGTCTCCCACCTGGAAAGAAAAATATTACAACAATGACTTTACATTAAACTAAGCAGAGGTTATAAAACTGATAATAATGAAAATACTGTAACTGCACCCAAAACTGCTTTTATTTCACAAGAGTTTGAATTTTGCAAGCCAGGGAAGTTGTATATTCTTTTAGAGATGACTTTACTGTAGTCCTTCAAGACTGAATCACAGAGCAATCACTCACAACAATTTATTTATACACAATACAAGTTGCATTTCAAATGAAATCCACTGTACCATAAAATGAGTTTTAGATCTATTACTGACAATGGCCTACAAACAACTACAGTGGATGTAACCATTACAACTGTTGACTTACCTGGTTAACAAGTTCCTTCCAATCTTTAATCAATGCCAGTGTTTCTTTATGACTATCTACATACTCTGTGAGCTGGAACAGTGCTGCAGCTCCCCACAGTTCTAATTCTCTCAAAGCTTCACGTATTGACACTTCACCTTGAGCTCTGGCAAATAGTTCCTATGAGATGTGAAGTTGTAATTAAAACAGTAGGATTACTAAATGAAGATATAACATTCATGGGTCCATACAGTCCAGTATATGAAGCATATAAATGTCCATATTAAGAGATTGATTAGTTAAGATAACAATAATGCTGTATTATTTAAATATTAAAATGTAATGTTGTGATAGTGAGGTTAGACGAATAGTGCAGATCCACATGATCAAATGCATAATTTCTGTTAAGTAGAAAACCTGTGCAGGTTTATTATAAATACATTATGGATTTATTCAACAATTCAATTTTTCTAGAAATATTGGAAAGCACTCAGATTTGGAACAAATTTAAATGCTCAGACCTATGCTTACAATATGGCTCAAAAAGTCAGATATATGGCACTAGAACCACATTCATTAAAACAAAATAGCTGCCAGTTGGCCATTTTGAATCTTATCTGAAAAACAAAATGATTTGCATCACAGTCCCATAATGTCTAATGTATGTACCAAGTTTGAACAAAATTCATCTGTAAACAGCAGAGAAATGCTTGATTTTGATGATTTTAGAGTACAAAATTGGCCGCCATTCTGCCATCTTGAATCAGATCGTGAAACATATTGATGTGCATTTGTATAATACCATGTATGGTGTATGTGTAAAGTTTGAATGTGATTGGTCCAGGCAATTCTAAGATACAGGTCCGGACACACGCACACACAAAGGTCAAAACATAAGTCCCCATTTTCGGTCAGTTATTCGAGTGTGCCACAGAAGCTGATATGAAACACCACTGATGCAAAGTGTTTTGCAGTGATGCAACTAAGCTAGGTAATTCTGTGGTGTGTCACTTACTTACACAACAGAAAATCACAGATAGATATAGTGATCTTAAAAACATGTTGCTATCTATTTATTCCTAACTTGGTAAAATGAACACATGTAAAAATGAGGAAAACCAGGGTCACAACATTTTTGCTTCAAGTCAAGTCTCAAGCCTCATCTATACGATCGCATACAATTTTATTTTTTCCTGAAGACCCTCCTCCTCAGCATTCAACAAGGTGACTTAACATGATATCAGTCCTGTTAGTGTGCAGAGATTTTGACTAACCATGCCAACATGTTAAACTCATAATCTTATGCAACTGCAAGAATCTTCCAAATGATTAAGTAAGATCCATTTTACCTTTAAGTCATTTCCTTTCTTGACAATCTCATCAGATGCAGTCAGAATGTCACCGAAGACCAGCTTCTCTAACGTTGTACCTCTAGGCATACGTAACATTCTAAACAATTCCAACCAGTGATCTTGTGAGAGTACTTCACCACGTACATACTTCAGCAATGGTAACACAATCTATAAAATACACCAACAGATAGTGATTTAGTTTTATTTCTGACAGTGAAATTTAACTCTTCTATACAGTGCAGTAAAGACTCATATTTATAACATACACGAGTTCTGAGTCACAGGGACAATTTTGGGCATTATCAAAAGCCAAATTATATACTGGCAATACAAACACCAAATGAGAGATTATGAAGACTAAATTGACAATAGCAAGATTTCATGAATCATTTTCTCAGCATGATGATTATAATTTATCAACAGGCTTTTTTGCTAGACTTATCGTAATGCAATTGTCAAATCCTCAGTCCACCATCACACACTGAAATTAGCAAAAAAAATTGTTAGAGGCTCATAATGAAGGCACTGCACTTTCAACTTTAATAAATTGTGCACCATTAAAACTCTTCCATCAGCAAAATGTTAGCGAAACATTTTGAAAATCTCAATGTATTGTTCTATGATTTGTTCATTTGTGGCCAAAAGGACATCTATTACTTGTTTTGAACAAAAGTGTTTGAAAAATATATTCACACAGATATATATTCATGATCAGGTGACAAAAGTTGACTTGAGCACTTAAACGGTTAATACAATTCATTGTGATATTATTTACTGTGTCTACTTACTCCATATTTTTCTATATCCTTTGTTAATCTAACTGTCATCGTAGTTGGTTCCTCATAGGCACGTAGCTTTTCCATCCACTGAGTCAAGAATTCCTCAAACAGATAAGTACGGGATCTGTGATGAAACAAAAACGTGAGTGACTGAGTCACAATGTAGAAACACAACAGAAAACTAATAGAGACTCAAGTAGAGGTACATGTAATTCAAGCTCAAAATAAGCATTTTTGTTATCGTGAAGTGAAAAAGTTAGCAGTATATTAGATGGTTAAAATACAACCAACAGTGAAAATAGTGATGCAGGCAAATGAATATAAATAAGTTGTAAAAAAGTGACTCTGTAGAAAAGTAATTTTAGAATAATGAAATAATTGCAGCACCTGAATGAGATCCAGTCTTCCTTGGCGAGTTCTTGCAACTCATTGTTGAACTCTTCATACAGACACCACATGGACTCGTACTTGGCCAAGTCAACACGAACTTCATCAGCGACAGTGAACGTTGCTACATCCAGACCAAAATGTTTGCAATCATTCCTAGAAGGAAAGCAAAAAATAAGTATCTATAGATTTAAATTATGCTATGTAATGCCTAGGATGGAAAACTAGATCTATTAGTAGAAGAGTAAATACAATTTGCACACTATAATGATAGTGTCCCACTATAATACTACTTGGAAGCTATGTTGAAGACATTTATTGAATTAAAAAATGAATTCTGAATTCTTTTTATTTAACTTGTCAATGAGAAATTGACTAATGAAAAAATTATAGCAATGGCACTGTGACTGTCATCAGTGATACAAAATATGATCAGCACTTGCATGAAATCTGTTCTGACAACATTACCAATACGTTGTTTTTTTAACAGGAACACATGCAAGTATATGTATATTTAATAACAACAGCCGCGAACGATTATTCTTTGAGTGTGAACAACTGGTTTTTGCCAACCAGTCGCTACTCACAAGCACAATTGAAGTGTGTTGACCTATATACATGTGTGCTAAATAAGATCCACATCAACACGAGCTAATCATAGAGATGATGATAGATAAGAAGCATTAACTTGAGTCAAAGACTTACTCAAGAGTCAGTTTAGTTTTTTCCAACTCATCAAACTCTGCTCGTTTTTCTTTGATGGATGCTACAGCCTGCATGCAAGCATCTTTGTCAGAGCTGTCCAAAAGATCATCTTTAGGTTTCAATTGATGCCAACGTGCTGCAAACTTGTCAAGATCTTGTTCAAAAACTTGTACTCTAGATGCTACATTGCTTTTCATTACTTCCACCTAGAGAGAGAAAGATAAAGTATTAAATCGTGTAGAATTAGGACAACAGTAAACCATTTTTTTATTTCATGAAAAATAAATTTTCAAAAGCCAGTGAAATTTCACTGGCTATAATATGTATGACAGTCATGTAATACTAGTATACTGTAATGTGTATTACAGTACAAGACATATACATTTGAGGACTGGTTGTGTGATTTCAAAGTAAGCATTATACAATTGTGTGAGATGGAAAATAAGAAGAAGAACCATGAAAATATCTTAGTACTGAAAAATACTTTGTTCACTTGAAAAATTTTTCACTGAAAAGACTTTTTAGTTATTTTGAATAAAATTTGTTATGAGTTGAATGTATATAATATAATATAAGGGTATTCATCCTTTCTACAACAATAGTGAAAATAAAGTAGAATGTATATTTGATTAGGCCTACCCACGGTAGTACCGCAAGATGTGCCAGTAGCTGACACATGAAATATCATGGAATACATCACATGGGGAGAATATGACTGATGAATTGAATACATTTTTACACAGTTTATATTATTATAAATTTACTGACTATAAAATAGCATATCAATCACGTCTTACCTGTTCCTTAACCATGAGTTCATGGCTCTCCATCATCAATTCAAACTTGTCCCACCTGGCTTGTAGTTGTGATATGGAATCCATGCCACCACCAGCTACTGAGCGCAACAACTTATTCTTGGTCTCAGCTTTCTCAAACAGTGGTACAATCTAATGCAAAATATGCAACAACAAAGCCACTTATAATCTAGTATCTTTGAGAGGAAGGCGTGCATCTCAATATTACTACATGTAAACTGAATGGGGTTCTCTGGAAGAAAATCACACTGAACAATTCTCAGAATTGTCAATTTACAAAAATGCATTCATAATTGAATGAAATATAGGTATTGAGCAGTTAAGGAGAAATGAACTTGAAGAGTTTGGTGACAAAAAACTCAAGTCATTTTTACATTTGGCGACAATCAATTGAAACATCATATCTCTTCTAATCACACCAACGAATG